CACAAATCCCCTTTGTTGTTTTTGAAGAACGAGCAGGACCTCTTGGAGGAAAATAAATGCTGCTTCAACCTTTAAAATATAACTCAAGTCAGAAATAATTATACATGTTTCATGCTTATAAATTTAAAGTTTTATTATTTTTTTATTGCTCGTGTTTCAGGGTAGTCTGAGGAGGTCCGATCCCAACAGTCAGACCTTCAGGTCCCAAGAATATCTGCTGAAGGTGCTGGTCTGTTTTCAGGCAGCGTGCAGGTCAGAAACTGATCAAAATTAACAGTTTAATGATTAGACTCATTCACTTAGCAATTATTTGGTTCATAATGTTGATTAGTGTTTTTGTGTTATTCTTAAATGTTTTGCTTCGATTTGTTGAAGTTTATGATGGGGTTAATGTGCAACTTAAAATAAAACCTTTGGATTCTGTTTTTATTTCAAATGTTTAATTCAAAATGTCTTTATTACTTTTTTATTTTATTTTATGTCAAATATGTGTTGTACGTGTTTTGTTGTGGGTCTCTGTGTAATTTGAAATGCCTGTGTATATCCAAGGCTTGCTGAGGAGTGTGCGTCAGAGCCTTTTCTGATGAAGAACCCATTTACGTCTCCCTACAAACACAAATGCACTGACTCCCTGGAATCTCTGTGTCAGTGTCTGCTGCGCTGCTGTGATTCTGTCTGGATACCTACTGTTCTTGTGAGGCTTAACACAAATTTCACATGTTGAATTTATTTATTATTCTTTCATCTYGACTCTTGGTCTCTGTTAGTCATAATAAATAGTAAATTCCCCCTCTTCCTGTTTATGGTCAGTGTTGCTTTTGGCCAAAACTGAACACAGAATGTAGAGTAATATATAAGAGTGAGCATCTCATATTAACTGTTAGCACAGTGGGGGGTTGTTGATGGGGGGTTATTTTGCAGCCACCAGACATGAGTTCAAAAACGAATAGTCAAATGTGAAGCAAAAATGTGATTACTGAAGCAAAATCACCCTTAAATTCTACAAGATAGCTGAAAAAAATCTGTGTCGCAATGTCCAGACCTCGAACTTTCTTTTATTTTCCCCAATTTTAAGACCTGGTAAGAAAAACAAGTTTTAAGAATATATTATGTTGTTAAATATTACAACAGAGGGAAAATGTCCTTAAAAAAACATGCTTTATACCCAAACACCCAAAGAAATAATCAGTTGCTGACATTTTATTCTCTGAGAAATATGTCAATGTAATTGTTGAGCGATATCTGGTGGTCCCTCTTAATGACTATAATAATAACCACAGCCTCTGTCTTCATTATCTTTTCAACACATGGTCCTGTGGTTACTGATCATTTGCTGCCATGCTCATAATTAGTAATACTGCTGCTGGTTCTTTTAGGAATATTAAGCAGATTTGCATAAGAAAATGCGTTTTTGTTTGTTATACCCTGTGCTTTTCTATGTCTCCAGAGGTTCTGTGAGTGTGTACCCAGCTCCCCACCCAGCGCCCAGATACTACAGTACTTCTACTCTATATTGTGTTCCCTGTTTGTTCTGCTTCCACCGTTCATGCCAGAATTTTCTAAAAAACTTGGTGAGTTTTAAAAAACGAGTTTTTATAAAATTAATGTAACCATAAAGCATAGTCTTTTTATTTTAGCAATAAATCATTTTGTTACTGTATTAAGGTGGTGTTTTAAAAACTTTTGTGTTTTCTGTGCTTTAACATTTTGCTTGTAACAAGAACATTTAGAGATATTCCACTTTCCTGAAAGATTATGCTTAATTCCTTCAGTTGAAAACTAAAAAATACAAATAAAACTGCTAGTTAACAAGATAAACCTCTTTTTTTGCTGGAGAGGTTCTTGCTTTGSGCATCTGATGAGTAAAACATCATTGTAAATAAAATATGCTTAATATTTATGCTAAAAGCAAACAGAACACAGCCATTACTTGCAGAAATACTGTGGATCCACATGTACCTAAAATAGAAGTGAGTTAACACTTTTCTAAGTTTTAATTGACTGAGTGTCACTCAGATTTTCCACATTACTTTAGGAGAATATTTGTGTATTTGCAAATAAATTTTTAACAGTTCTAACATAAGTTTTATAATTAAATACAGTATATCTCACTTTATTGACCTCTAGTTAAC